GTAGTACGTAGGCTGCGTATTCGACACGTATTAAAATACAAAATATGAAAACCCATCCCGATTTTGCAGCGCACACAACACAGTTCCAGGGTCATTTGGCGTACCACCTGGCGGCACTCCACGTACCACTGCCGGTACGCGTACCACAGTTTGAGAACCACTGGTGTAAATCATTATGGGGCAGCACAGTGAGGCAGTGGTCAGCACTGCTGCTTCGCAATGCTGGGGCCCTAGATTCAATACCTGTCCTGGGGTGCTGTCTGAGTGGAGTTTGCATGTCCTCCTCATGCTCACTTGGGATTCCTCCCACCAGTCTATAAAATAGTGGTAGGTTAATTGGTGTCTGGGAGAACTGGCCCTGATGTGAAAGTGTGAGTGTCTGTGTGCCCTGCGATGGACTGGTGTCCCATCCAGGGTGTACCCCACCTTGGGCCCTTTGCTAGCTGGCTCCCTGCGACCCTGAATTGGAAGAAGTGGTTAGAAAGTGGAAGGATGGTCATGCCTTCTGCTTATTACTGAACAACAACGTTAATTCATTGGCTTTATACAGCAGCTTTCACCCAAGAAGGATCTGATTATATCATGTGGCTTATTTAGCTGCTATGGAGAGCTTGCACAGAACTCTAATCACTAATTCTAGGACGCAAGTTCTAAGACAATTTTTGATCAATTGAGCCTACAACTATATCACCTGTCTGCCAGTACCTGGATGGGAGACCTCCTGGGAAAGCTAAGGTTGCTGCTGGAAGAGGTGTTAGTGGGACCAGTAGGTTGTGCTCACCCTGCAGTCTGTGTGGGTCCTAATGTCCCATTGTAGTGATAGGGACACCACTGTAAAAAGGTGCCATCCTTCAGATGAGATGTAAAACAGATCCTGACTCTCCGTGGTAATTAAAGTTCACGGGGCAATTCTTGAAAAGAGTAAGAGTGTTAACCTGGCCAAATTTCCCATTGGCCTTTACCAGTCACAGTCTCCTAATAATCCCCTTCTCTGTATTGGTTTCATCACGCTGTTCTCCTCCCCACTGGCAGCTGGCGTGTGGAGAGTGTACTGGCGCCATATACTAGTAGTGTCGAATGGAGTGGATATTAATCAAATAAAATTACTGAAATACACGACTAAGGTTTAGACTTAAATTAAAAATACAATCAGTCAACATTCGCCTTACATTATTTTCTATTCCGATATTTACAATTTCCACACTAAAAGTACATTTAATACGTTTATAAATGACTAAATAGAGAAATTTCTTACAAGTACTTTTTTAATTTTGCGTAAGCAAACCACAAAGTGATAACTTCCAAAAGTAATGTTTTTCCTGTTGATAAAATAATTGATCAAATTCAATTCAGTAAATTATTTAAGCTTTTTTCATATAAAAACTTCGGAGAGTGAGTCATTGCAAACAGGACATGAACATATATCGAAAGTTAATTTCAAACCATAAATGCAGTGCGTGTTACAGTTCCTGTTGTTTACGTGAATTCTTCTACGGTTTTGATTACGATTCTTCACACTCACCTCGTCTGGGAGATCGACTCCTGCTTCTCCCCATGGTTTCAACTGGTCCCACCGGATTTCAGGTGAAAAACACCAGTAACTTTCTCAGATAAGAGTCGAAAACAAATTTAGCAATCTACAGAAAACGCTAGAAACACGATCCAGTGCAACCGCTAAAAGAAACCGTGTTCCAGCAATACGAGTACATAGGTTCCCCACTCTGTGATTTCTGTTTCCTGCGTTGCTATAGCGCCCCCTCTTGTTTGGAGTCCATTAGTGATCACTATAATCACCAGAGAACATTTTTCATAGAGCTAATTATTTTGGAGGTGCAAGCTAGTCCGAAGACTGTAGGTAACTGATCTCTGTGAAAATTGATCTTGGTGTAAGTGTGTGCGCGTTTGTGCGATACCCTTGGTTATTATTAAAGATAGAAACCGGGGACGACTCTTCAAAAAAGGGTGACATATGTAAGACTAGGATTTGTGATGTGTAGGGTGTGATATGTTTAGTGTTAGTAGCTCGGCGGTCTATAGATTTAAAAAATAAAACAATGATTATGCAAATGACATTAAGAGAATAAAGAGGCTGCGAGTGAAAGGAGATCTATGCTGGAAAAAATGTGTTTCTTAAATTAAAAAGTAAATACAACCTGTTACTCCAAACCAGTATTTTAATGGATTTAATTCTCACAGTAGCTTAGACCAAAATCACACGATTCTCAGTCGCTGTTCTGAATATAGGTCCTGGCGGTTTCCATCTGTGTCCTCTAGTTTGTGCTTCACTAATGATCATGTGCACCGGGCTTAGTTTAGAAAAGCCGCTGAGAATTTTAACGTGAATCACGTTCCCTTGTACTGTTGTACAATTTGGTTCTGTCGCTTCAGGTCATTTTTCAAGCCCCAGAATCATCTGGTCGCCCTTCACCAGACTGATTGCACAGCAGCAATATCTTCTTATAACGTGGTGACTATAATGGTACACAACATTTTAAAATGACGTCTTAAATTATTGGTTTCAGAGAGCCCGAAAATAACTCCCTAGCCACGTTGTTGAAGATGACTAATGCCCCTGTTTGTGTACACCCCTTTTATGTATTGTCTTGGCATTATTTTTTTCCAATACAAGTTCATTTTTCCCTCCATTCTTTGCTTTGCTGTCTTAGTAGGGGACGCAATTTGTATCTTTCCATTTTCCAATTAAATATGTTTATCCTGAAGCCTCAGGACAAGCAAGTGAAAATTTCCATACTGAGAGATTCATTTGTAGAATGGGACAGTGTTGCCAGGAACCAAGATCACTGGCTTCGAAAAGTTGAAAAGTTGTGAAATAAAATATTTATTTCAATCAGGGAAGAGTTTATAAATTGCTTTTGCTGTACAGGGCACATTCTCCCCCTGGATGTTCTGGTAAGGTCTTGTATTATCTGGGGAAAGTGTTGTTCGTGTCCAGGGCTTCTAATGCCTGTGTGTTCCCACAGGACAGATTGTGAAGTCCTTTCACCCAGTGCTCGGCTTGGAAACTGTGTCCAAGGCAATAAAGATTAATTTCTGGTTAATTAACACCATTCGAGACATGTGAAATGTGCCTTTTCACACTCTTCGTCTTGTTGTTAAGTTTAAATTTCTTCTTGCCAGTGTCCTCAAGCTTCAATAAAAGATAGTTTCTTCCCACATCAGTTATGTTGTGTTGTTGCTGCTGTTTGACACTGTTCTGTTTTTCCCTGTTGGGAAAGTTTGTCATTAGAACAGCCCAGAAGAGGCTGTCCTCTGTGAAGGATGTTTCAGTGTTCTGCCTCTGTCAGTTGGACGTCTGTTCTGTGCATTGCTTGTGGCCTTTGTCCTGCAGTGATATTATACATTGTCTTGATGCCCTACCTCCTGCCCCTGTACTCCTACTGCTGTCCCTTGGCAAGGCAAGGGACTTAGTGCTGCCTTACAGTAATGTTTCACTGCCTGCAGTGCTGTCCTATAGCAGTGCCATATGTCATACATTTTAAAGCACATTCTCTTGCTTATGCACGTAAAAGCCATACATACAAGTACACGTTCAGACACTCTAAATCGATGTAAAAAGTAAGCGAGTATGAAAGTAATTATGTAAAATTAAGACTCCGGTAGGTCACAGCAATATTATTGAGCTCACCTGTATATCTTATTGTTATCTTGTTTTTATCAATAGTTGTGTTTGTAATATGATTGAAATGAAGGGTGATCAATGATATCATTTGTACCTCTAGTGAAAATGTACATGCATAAGAATTGAATGGGAGATATCTATAAGTATATGAACACAAAAATGTTTTAGAAATCGGTAACTTGTTTTTGTTGGTGGGCTTGCGAATGGAACGAAAAATATTAAAAATGAAGTTGCAAGAAAAAAAGCAAGTGAGCATGAAATGTCGTTTTCCCTTTAGTTCAATGTTCCCTTGTCGCCCAGCCTGAGGTGGAGCAGGAGAGAGAGGCATGACAGGAGAAGGAAGAGAAGGGATTTGAAAACCTCAGTGACTTCAATTTTAATGGCAGGTACATGTGCAATCTATGTTTTTTCTTTCCAGTATTTCACTTTCGCATTCTAATACTAAAAAAAAAACTAAACAAAAGACCAGCAAAGGTATAATAACGATAACAGCGACTGTATAGAATAACAGTAATAATATAATTACAGTTATAACAATAACAGCATCAGAAGTCTTTTGATAGATAAAAAAAATATCGTCTGCAAAAGGAAGAAGGAATGTTAAGTGCCTTCTGAGTCAGGTTACGCTCGTGCCTACAAGTCACACAAAAGCAGAAAGTGCCGCGTTATTCCGATCCATAATCATAATTACTAGTGGCATTTGAGCAATTTGCTATTAAATATGCTTTCCATTATTGGGTTTTTTTCCCTGATTCTTGTGAACAATCTGATGCTTGCGTTCTTCTTGGTGGTACAGAAGATAAATGAATGAGACACAATAGATCACAATCGTTAATATAAACCATGATACTATGCTGTATATATTTATATACTATTTACAACAGTGCACACCACTCTTCAGCTGCAGTGTAATAAAGAAAAGCGAAGAAGGAAAATGAAGGGGTGTGAGTGTGTGTCTTCTGTGTGTGTGTGTGAATGCATGTGAGATCATACAGGATGATTTCTCCCAGATAAGCACAATCTCGTGCCAAGCGGGACCTACAGTAAATGAAAGGGTCTGATTATTGATGCCCTGAAGGCAGAAAACTCCTGTTGTTTCCTACGTAAGAGGAATTGAGGATAATGCCCCTTCTTCAGACACCATAGTCAGCGTCCTCACACATGTACCTCGCCCAGACAACACAGGGTCACCTGTTACATAGTGCAAATGTGTGAAGATCGAATCCGAAATATTTACATGTGCACGTGTGCGAATGTGAGTCAGAGGTGGTGATACAACAGAGGTCTTCCATGCTTAAAAAAACACATCAGAGAATGGAAATAACAGAACAAGGAAGAGAGATTTTATGAGCAGAAACCGAAGTGACCCTAAATTAGGCAGGGTTGGTCACAAGGCTCATCGGAGATAATGATGGAAGAGGCAGTGTTATCGCCAGCACACCAGTGAGAGAGAGGGGAGAGAGAGCGAAACAGGCACGGGGAGAGAACGGAGAGCCGGTCCTCAGGCCTCGGCTTTCTCTTTCTGTTTCTTGCTTTTTTTGAGAAAGGAGGGCGCCTTGAACTTCTTCTTCTTCTTGGAGGGGGACTTGGAGGGCGAGCCCTCCGGGGAGAGGGTGGGCGCGGAGGGCGGCGCGTCGGTCTTGCCGCGGGGCGGAGCCTCCGTCTCGGCCCGCGTGGACAGCTGCTGCATCCCCTTCTGCAGTTCCTGCTCCGCGCCCTGCTCCTCCTCCTTCCCATTGAGCACCACTGCCGGCGGCCCGTCTGCCGCCACCTTCGAGACGTCTGTGGTCTTGCCTTCTTTGTCTTCACAGAGACAAAAAAAAATAAAGAGCGAAACGTACAAAACACGTGACTCAACCTGCAGCACAAAATTTATTTGTTAAAACAAGGATTTTACTTTACTTAAGATCTGAAGTTATTTGTCCTGGAAAAGGTACTTTTTTTTAGTTCATGTGGAAATCTGTTTCCTTCCCTGCAGCATGATGGGAAACTGGGATCTTCGGGTATCCTGTGCTTTAGCTCTAGTTTGCAAAATCTTTAGATATTTAAAGGTTCTTGCGTTTCTTCCATATTTTGTTTCAGTTCTGTCAAAGAATAACCTAAGTCACAAAATAATCACTGACAGTATCTTATACAAGGTTAGTCAAAATATTGTCGACAAGCATCAATGCCAATTATTTTACTAAAGTTTTGTTTTCTCCTCCACAGATGGCGATGGATTGTAAGGTAACTGTTAGAAACTTTGATATTTATGCTTTCGTTTGAAACCTTTTTTGTCACAGTAACCCAAGTATAATTTGTAATAAACTGTCAATGTTGTTAACAGCATTTGGACTAACCCTGTAAATTTCTAAAGAAATATTATACTTGAAAATAAAGTATAATAAAATAAACCATAAAGTGTCTTACCTCTTTTTTTATCCATACAAATATGTGTATGTGATGTTAATGTGTAAATACAACACTACTTCATATATCTAACAATAGATATTTACTCTCTTTTGCTAAGAAAAGGCAAAAGCCCGTGTAACTGAAAAAATGCTGCTTCTTTTATTATCAGTATCCAAAGGTTTCTCAATACTTACTATAGAGACAAGAACTCAGAATCGGAGGACATTCCTATGGGTCAGTAGAGGGGGACAGAGACAAAGACAAGAGAGAGAAAGAGACACAGTTGTGGAGACAGATGGCGAAAACAAAACACAACACAGTGACCTGGTAACAAGACACACACCCCACATTACACACAGCGCACCCGGCCTTGAGGCCTTGAGTGTGTGCAGCACCCAGCCTCCGGGCGCACTCCAGGAAGAGCACAGTGCGCCGCTCAGACACTGCCTGTGGGCCTGCAGGTTCTGGACGAGTGACCTCATGCTGTTTTCCCTATTGATCTTTCTCATCCTCTCACTGTGCAATGGGGCGGGGTCAGGTATTTAAAGGGACACTGCCGTCCCAATTTCTCAGACCGGTTATTAAATCTAGGAAACAAAGTCAATTCATCGACGGTATAGAACAATTTTAGAAATTTTGAATTCAGCAGAAAATTGCAAATGATGTGAAAGTACTGTAAGTCGCCATGTTGTCGCAAACCCCTGGTCTAGCCGCAGGCGAGAGTGAGAGTTTCCACGAATTGTCACGTGGTGCTGTCCTTCCCGCTCACTAGTCCCTGTACCGACTAATGTACTGTGACGTACGAGTGAATAAGTACAGGTTGTGCAGCAGACATTTCACCGTTCCAACGTGATCTGCATGCAGAGTTAAAAAGTAAGTTCCATTTATTGGCAAAACTGTCTTGAAGTCGAGAGCAGTATTTCTGTTGGATTAAAAGAGATATTCACAAGCCTGCCTGTTTACAATGTAATAAGGCCGCAACACATCACCAAAGTTTTGTTGCCTCATTCTGAATTACAGAAAACGGCGCTGCACATACCTGGAAATTTCATCTATTTTGTCACGGAAATTGGAGGTTTTACAAGTTACTGTGAACATTTTACTGTTATTATGGTTTGAAATACACTCATCAATGCTGATTTTTTCTAACCCCAAAATATGAAAATAGTGTTGCAGGTTTCCTTTAATTGTTTAATTGTCTTATGGTTGCGGAGGAGAAGAACTGAAAAGTGGAGCTAACATGAACTGCAGAGAGATCAATGGCTACAGACCTATCGACAGGCTCGGCAAACATCTTCAGATTCCTTAAGAATCCCCTGCATATGTGTGTACATGTGTCTCTGTACAAGTGCCTATACAGTACACATGTCCAGTGATGTGGAAAAGCTTCAGCTCATCCGGATCATAAGTAGCATATGCAGCCCTTTTCTGGCATAAATGGTATAAAAGTATAACATTATTTAACAAGATGCAGCAACGCAAAACCTGCCAAACGAACTGACATTCTTCAAGCCATTTTTGAACCATAACACTCTTCGGAAACGAGTGTTACTATTATTATCTCAGTTTTACATATATCTTAAACCTTTTAAAATGGCTGTTTTTGTAATAAACTCTAAGGTTTAATAAAAGCCCCGTAAAATACAGATGAGTCAAACCTTTTCTATACTGTATATACTGTATAGTTCTACAAATTCACACATATATATACAGTATGTATACAGATAAATACACATACGCAGGTCGTATCTGTCTTTATAGACATGTATACATGTATGTACAATGCACATATGGAGAAGGAGGAAGAGACTCAGACATTTACACAGGTAGACACCTCCTAGCCTAGTGCTGTCCTGGCTGATGGCCTCCTCTCTCACCTGTGGGGGGTGTTTTGGAAGGGGAAGTGACCGGGGTCTTAGCTGGAGAGGTGGGGGGGCTCTTTGCAGGGGGGGTCTCAGTCTCATTCACCAGCTGCTCTTCAGCACCTGGAACACACAGACAAAAAGGCTAACAGAAGTGTGAGAGAGAGGCAGTCAGATGATTGCAAACATGGAATGTAAGTAGGAAGGAAAAACAGTACTGGGGTTCATGCAAGTGCCAGTTTTTATTCCAGGTGAGCTCTCAGTTACTTAATTGATCCCTTAATTGAACACAATAATAGCATTAATTTGATCTTTTTAACTCTTTATAGTTCCCAAACACATTAGAGGTTGTCTTTTTTGAGTGCTGCATTGCTCTTCAGATGTAATTTAAAGTGTCCAGTTTTTGACTAGGAAAACTGTTAGCCTAGTTTGCACTTATGTTTCATCAGGTCCATACATGAGTTTTTAACAGTCAAAGAAGAGCTATACCATACTGACAACCCTCATATATGGTCCGTGAGACTTACTGGACATGACCAGAATTCAATTCTGGACAGTTCTACTTTCTAGTATTGTGAAACAGTCAGAGCTGAATAATATTCATATATCCCATTATCCACAGTATTTTCTGATTGCTTTTGAAAACCTAACATTCCTGAGTAATGTTCTTGTTTGCAAAGATACTTTGGATAGGCATACTGTACAGGCTGATATAAGGCACTGCTGTTTCCTGTTGTTTCTTATTTGTGCTGGTGCATGGCCGTGTGCCCCCTGTCCCCCTCTAGTGAGGGGACTGGGGGACACACAGACTGGGGCGCTGTGTGAAGGAGGGTGGGAGTGACAGACCGACTGACCGTCCTGCCCCAGCTGCTGTTTCCTCTGCACCTCCCTCTTGTACTCCTCCAGCTCCTGGTCGGTCAGCTGGCTGAAAGGGTTGGGGGGCTCGGGCTCCGGAGGCGGGGGCGGCTCCTGGGGGCCCTGGGCGGACTCCTCGCGTGTCCCCGCCAAGGCCAGGTCAGCGTCTGCAGACTGGCGCACACAAGGGGCGGAGGAGAGAGGCTGAGAACATTTGGAGTTGATTTTTTGCGACACTTTTAATTTTTGTCTACTGAATGTGTTTGCCAATAAAAGAAAAAACAAGCAATTAAAATGAGACAGGAAGACTAGGCCAGCAGGCAGACAGTTTGATGGAGACTGTAATATTCAATGGCTGCTGTAGACACAGACTAATGGAGAGAAAGACAGAGAGGTCTGAAGCACCTGATAAAGGAAAGGCCTGACAGACAGATGTGAAGGCCCAGGTTTTAGTCTGAGACACAGACACACGCAATCTGGCAGGGATGGCAGAAAGGAAGCAGGAGTAGCAGCCACACTTTGACAAAAAGACACAGACACATACATCACATGCACACACACACACTCTCACTCATGTGCATCTATATATGCACACATGTGCACACACCCACAAAATGTGCGCACATGTACACTCTCATTCACACACATGCACATGTGCACAAACACATTCACACATACACGTGCACACTCATTCACACACACATGAACATTCACACACACACGCGCACACACATGTACACATGCGCACGTGCACACACTCATGCACATGTGCACAAACATATTCACACATACACGTACATATTCATTTGCACACACACACGTGCACACATTCACACACAGATGTGCTCATGCACGCAGGTGGAGTGTGCTGCTCCAGGTCGTACCGGGCTCCTGCTCTTGTCAGCGATGACACTGGCCAGCAGCTGGGACTGAGGCCCTGCCCACTTCACATCCTGGCGGTTCTGCTCCCTGATCTGAGACAGAAACAGAACAGTAAAAGTGAGAATAGGACCTGCCCCTCAGGTGTGCTGCACTGAGCTGTTCCTTATTAGCTGACCTAGGTTCTCTTGGCTTTTGGCGCAACAGCGCCCCCGACTGCCTGCAGCCAAGTCTTGCTTAAATGAGAAAGGCGCTGCATCTCCTGCACGGGAGTCTGCAGCACGTAGGAGAAAGAACATCCCTGACAGGCAACTGTGTCAGAGGAGAGAGCCTACAGACAGGGGGCCTTTATCCCCTCTCACCCTGACCCTAACCCCTTCATACAGGCAAGCCCAGTCCCACATGAGGATCACAGCCACACCATGCTGCAGGGGTGCTCATGAGGTCCTCATGTGGCAGGACCACAGGAAAGCTTGCACTGTGACTGGCTCTACTGCTGCCCTGGCTCTGTGTGGTGGCGCCGGTGAGCCCTGCCCCACCCCGCCACCCTACCTTGTTCCGTGTCTCCAGGACCTCCTGGGGGTTGGTGAAGAGCGGAACGAACTGGTTGGGGTTCTCGATCTTGATGGCCGTGCCGCTGCTGAGCTTCACCTCCTCTGCTCTGAGCCACTGTAGTGGAGAGAGGAGGAGAGGTGGGATGCGGGGGTGAAGAGGAGCACCCCTCATGAGCACCCCAGACAAGTTCAGCCTCCTAGTCCAGTACTGGGCAGTTCCTGAGGATGGGCCCCAAATCGTGCGACATTGTGTCTAATCTGTTAGTGGGGATCTGAGGAGAGGGGAGTCTCTGACAGCACACACTGCTGGACCAGCCTCTAGAAGCAGGTCTCCTCAGAGGGTTTCATTCCAATGTGCTGAACTCAGGCAATTGTTCAGGCCATTTCAAGACAGGACCTCATTTTCAGCACCGCCCAAAAATTCCCTACCTATTCTCATCTGAACCTTTCTGAAGGTTTAATGCAAAAAATAAATTCCAGTTTTTAGCAAGGATAAAACAGGTATTTGTTGGGCACCACACTCAAAGCGACCATGCTTGTGTGGTCACCTGGATGTCATGACGTGTTTATCCCACCAGAGGGCAGCAGAGGCTCTGCAGCAGTCAGCTCAGGTCAGAGGATTTCCTCTGCAATGCAGAGTAAGAGATGGAGAGAGGTGGGGGGAATGGACTGAAAGGAAGACAGATCAAAGACAGAGCGTCCACTGTGTTGATCCATGCCTTCCCTGGCCTGGGTGGCAGGGGGATGGGGGTATGAGCAGAAGATGTTTACCTGTTTGACGTTTTTTGTGGTAGATGTTAGATTAACTGCAGAAGCTTATTAGAGCCACAGAGAAAAACATATTTTTTGCATTTAAATGAAATAGTTTTATATGAGATAACTATGTTAAAATGTGAAAATTAATTGGTGAATGATATTGTCTGCTATATTAATATCTTGCATTATATGTCCAATAATATTGTCCCATGTAAAGTAGCCTTGACTTAAACAACAGAGGAATATTGTCATACTCTTCTTTGTGCAAATTAATTAATCTAAAGGAGCATATGTACTGTCTTTTGTGTACAAGTATAACACCCTGTCAGTGAGCACTGCCGGGTTAAAGGCACATCTCAATTCTGTGAAAACCAAAAATGACACACCTTTACAGACATATGTTATTCTTGATGTGGAACTGCAGAAACACGCACTCTACATAGGTTTCTATGTACACAGAGTAAATATTCTGACTGTAACTGCAGGCTGTAAGATTTTTCCAACCTATTCCATCCATCCATCCATTTTCTAACCACTCTGAAATGTTTGTGTGTTCTCCCCATATTTGTGTGGGTTTCCTCCAGGTACTACGTTGTCCTCCCACTGTCTAGAAACATACTAGTAAGTTAACTGATTTCAGGGCAAATCGGCCCTGGTGTGAGCATGTGCCTCTGTTTGTGTCTCTGTGTGTGTGTCCTGTGATGGACTGGCGTCCTGTCTAGGGTGTACCCCTGCACCCGTTGCTTGCTGGGATAGGCTCTTGTTCCCCCCGCGACCCTGAGCTGAATGAAGCGGTTAGAAAATGCATGGATAGGTGAGTCTCCACGACTACACTGCAAAATGAGGTGCAAGATCTGCACCTTTAAAAATGCGCGTTAACTATACTTAAAGACAGCGAAGAGCTTTTTTAACATCGTCCGGGCGGGCTCGGCACAGTGTGACTAAAACGTGGGGGCGCTGCTCACTGTGGTCTTGGTGCCGGGGCTGGCCTGGTCCTGGCTGATGCGCAGGTAGGAGTTGGGCGTGTTGAGCCAGCGCGTCTTCTCCTGCTGCTGCTTGTGGGTGTGGTGGCGCAGGGCGGGGCGGGGCACCCCGTCTTCCTCAAAGCTGAAGGCCGTCACGGTCGCGGGGATCTCCACCTCGCTGCGCGGCTTCACGCGCTCCAGCAGCACGGGGTGTCGGTATGCGTAGCCGGTACGGTAGCCCTGGAAACGCACCCAGAAATGCAGGCATGGGTAGAGCTTCATCACCGGGCGGCCATGACTCGTTTCATGCCAGTGTACAGTATGTCTGTGTATTTGTGTGTGAGTTTTCAGCGTAGGTCGTTAAGTGTACGTGTTAAAACCTCACCAGATTGTCCATTGTCCTCATCAGCGCCTCAAACTCGTGCTCCCCCACACGACTCTTGTGCAGGGGTCCAAAGGTGGAGCCAGCCCAGCCCACTGAGCCAGCCTGGTGGGGGCGCTGCTTCTCTGGGTCCAGCTGGATCAAGTTCTGCTCGCCCCCTGCACTGCACAATGCTGACACCTACAGGCACACAGCGGGATAGCATGGAAGGATCAACACTCTGCATGGTGCTGACATCTAGTGGCCCAGCCTTGCATAGCACATTTTGGAGGTGTGTATTTTTACTGAGCTGTATAATATCATGATCCTTACACTTATATAGCGCTTTTCTGGATATTCCACTCGAAGTGCTTCACAGGCAATGTGTAGCCCATACCTGTAGCAGCTTCAGTGGGTTGCTAATTGTGAATTGCAGACTGATACGGCTGCTGGCAACGTTAACTATTGGTTTTTGTAATAAACTTAGGATCCCCAGCCTCTGACTGGGAAAAAAAACTGGGTTCTGTTTAGGATACAGAGCTCAGCTGTGGAAACTAACCCCTGTACTATAAACCATCACTTTCCGAAGACATGGAACCAGGCCCACACCTGCTTAGTTTCGGTGGGTTGCCATAGAAACCAAGCTTTGCAAACAAGGCTGCCAATGTTTGAAAATAGTTTTTACAGCTCACCTGTATCTCACAGGCTGCCTGGATGTGGTAGATCCTGTAGAAGGCCTCTTCCACAGACTCCCCCAGCGCCACAATGCCATGGTTTCTTAGCACCAGTACCTGTGCAAGGAAACCACAAAACTCATTAAAGTACAGACACATGGATGGAAAAAAAATTATTGTCCTTATGGGAAAAGACTCATCCTCCAAGACTCTTTTGGCCCACCATTTTTATATCTCTTTCCCTTCCTTTAGCTGCTAGACCTTTCTCCCTTTTTACCAGTTTTTCAATATACAGTGCCTTGCGAAAGTATTTGGCCCCCTTGAACTTTTCAACCTTTTGCCACATTTCAGGCTTCAAACATAAAGATATAAATTTTTTATTTTATGTGAAGAATCACCAAC